ATCTCTCGTTCCCGTTGCAGACCGGGATTAAATATACTGATCATCTGACCATAACCGATAGTGTCAGGCTAGAATCACAATTTCCCCAACGAGAGCCTAACAATTGGTGGAGAAGTTGGGCAATTTCTGTCTGCATTGCCCGTTTTTTTTTTCATTTTTTTTCTTGATTGTTCATATTTGATTCTTTTTCACTCATAACATTTTTTCATTTCCATATTTTTCCACTCACCACATTTTTCATTCTCACATTATTTTTTCTTACTCTTGAACATTTTTCTACCTATATTCATTAATCATCTTTAAATGGATAATGATGATCGTATTTCTCATTTAAATAATTCACTATTATATAAACCGATGAATGTACAAAACACTTCATATCAACCAATATCTACGTTGAAAAATAAACAAGATTCTAATTTATTGAATCTATTAAACAAAAATCCTAGAAAATCAATCATACCATTATCTCATTTACCCACGAAATCATACAAGATATTCGGAATCGATAATGAATCTGATAATTCATTGAATAAAAATTATTCATTAGTAGAAACTGTTGATGAAAATAGTTTTGATATATTTATTCTACAAAATTTTACACGATTCTCCGGTGAACAAGATGTTAATATTTGGTTGGATGAAACCGTGGATAAATTTGATCGATCGTTAATTACAACAAACCTACGTTTTGCTGCAATTCCATTATTAGTTCGAGGTCTTGCACAAAAGGTCTACTTAAAGAATCGACGAAATATTCAATCGTTTGATGATTTCTATGAAATCTTATTATCACATTTTGATAAAAATGAAGTTCAACCAATACATAATCATCAACAAGAAAATACTATATTACAATCTGATCTAAATTCTCAAACAAAATTATTAGAAGATAAAAATTTACAAACTATGATGACATCTGAAAATACACATGTTTCAGAAAAATCACCAACACATCATTCTACTGTTATAGTTGATTCCGGTGCCGCCACTTCGAGTGGCGAGATACCAGTCTCACAATCAACAGAAACTAATGATAATATTAATAATAATTCAAATCTTGATGAAACAACAAATATACTTCCTACAGTTCTACTCCAAACATTAGCAAAAGATCCTAACACATTAAAGGATAACAACAGTGATATCCAAAAATTAGTCCCAGGAACTGCATATCATTCAGATATGACCTATGTTCCTCATTTTAATCGAGTAGATTCTATTCCTTATTTATTACGATTAGACATTGCTCAATGGTATAAACATAACAAAATAATGCCAACGTCATGGGACGTTTTCGTATATAAAAAGAGGAAAAAAGCTAAACGTTTATCCACAAATATTTATGGGAAAAATAGTTATGCAGAAGGCCTTAGCATTCGCCGATAATAAACATTCATCTTTTTTGTGTTCATCATTTGTTTGTTTGTTTTTTTTTCTTGTATTATACTTCTCACGTTTTCTTGTTTTTGTTATTGATCTTCATGTGTGTTATACCTAGTTTTCTTTCATTTGTTACATTTATCATCTTCTTTTTCCCTAGACTGAAAGGCTAGGGTCTAGAAACCGAAATTCACCTGTGTCTGTCTGTCTGTCCGTCTGTCTGTCTGTCTGTCTGTCTGTCGGTAACGCGGTCAAAATGGCCATTTTTTTGGCACATGTGACCATTTTTTTGGCACAAACGACCATTTTTTTGGCACAAACGGCTATTTTTTTACTAAAATTAACTAGGTAACTATGGTACAAATGAGCATATAACTATGGCACAAACGGTCATTTTTTTGGTACAAACGACCACGTAACTATGGCACGGGTGACCATATAGCAACCATGCTACAAACAACTATTTCGGTAACTATGGCACAGATGACCATATAGCAACCATGGTACAAACAACTATTCCGGTAACTATGGCACAGATGACCATATAGCAACCATGGTACAAACAACTATTCCGGTAACTATGGCACAGGTGACCATATAGCAACCATGGTACAAACAACTATTTCGGTAACTATGGCACAGATGACCATATAGCAACCATGGTACAAACAACTATTCCGGTAACTATGGCACA